GGTTCAACACCAAAACAAGCCTCCCACGGAGCAACTTATATCATACGACCCTTGATTTTCAAGGCGCCGGAGCACCATCCTTGTTGTTCGTTCACTCACCCCATATATCACACGACCGTCGCTCCCTAAGCAGCACGCCGGAGCACCGCCCAAAACCCACCACCAACACCATCACTCAACGGCCTTGTAGTTCAGGCCGTGAACCTAACAGCCGAGACCAGTTCCTCTCTCGGCTACAATCGTTTGACTAGGAAGACAGATCAAACAGGCGCACCACTTATCCATCCAACACTCATCAACATATCAACGCACGGTAAACCGTGCTGGCACGCCCGCGCACAACCGCACCGCACCCAAAAGCAGGAAACCCCGTGTTAACGCACATCCCCTCGGCCCGGAACTCCAGGCCGTGAGATTTGCGCGGCTGACAGTTAGAAGATTTGGGTAGCGATTTACAAGTTTTTGAACCAGAATTACAAAATTAGGGTTCATTTAATCCATAACGTTGTAAATACCCATTTACAAGGATATTGATCCACATTACAAGGAACTGGTAACTCCGGACCAAGAGGATGTAAATTGGGTCCTTATTATAGTAAAATGAGGGTTTACAAGACTAAGGGCCGATTTTAAAATTTAGGATACGAGGGTACCATAACCTTGTAAGGAGGATCCAAAAACATATAAGTTACACGATTTGGGTAGTGATTTACAAGTTTTTGTACCACGATTATAACGTTAGGGTTCTCATAATTCTTAATGTTGTAAATCCTTATTTTACAAGGATATGAATCCACATTACAAGGAATTTGTAAGTGCGGACCATGAGGATGTAAATTAGGTCCTTATTCTAGTAAAATGAGGGTTCACAAGATTAAGGGCCGATTTTACAATTTTGGGATATAAAGGTACCATAACGTTGTAAAGAGGATCCATAAACATGTAGGTTACACAAATTGGGTAGTGATTTACAGGTTTTTGCACCATGATTACAACATTAGGGTTCTCATAATCCTTAATGTTGTAAATCCTTATTTTACAAGGATATGGATCCAAATTATAAAGAATAGGTAAGTTCGGACCATGAGGATGCAAATTGGGTCTTTATTATAGTAAAATAAAAGTTTACAAGATTAAGGGCCGATTTTACAATTTTGGGATACGAGGGTACCAAAACGTTATAAAATGGATCCATAAACATGTAAGTTACACGATTTAGGTAGTGATTTACAGGTTTTTGTACCACGATTACAACATTAGGGTTCTCATAATCCTTAACGTTGTAAATCCTTGTTTTACAAGGATATGGATCCAAATTACAAAGAATAGGTAAGTCCGGACCATGAGGATGTAAATTGGGGTCCTTATTCTAGTAAAATGAAGGTTTACAAGATTAAGGGCCGATTTTACAATTTTGGGATACGAGGGTACCTTAACGTCGTAAAGAGAATCCCTAAACTCGTAACTTACAAATTTTTGGTAACAATTTACAAGGTTTTGCTCCTGGATTACAACGTTAGGGTTCACTGAATCCATAATGTTGTAAATCAGCCTTTTACAAGGGTATGGATCCATATTACAAGGAATTGGTAATGGTGGACCTTAGGGATGTAAAATGGGTCCTTATTCTAGTAAACAATAGTTTACAATATTAAGGACCGATGGTACCTTAACGTCGTAAAGAGAATCCCTAAACTCGTAACTTACAAATTTTTGGTAACAATTTACAAGGTTTTGCTCCTGGATTACAACGTTAGGGTTCACTGAATCCATAATGTTGTAAATCAGCATTTTACAAGGACAATTTACAAGGTTTTGCTCCTGGATTACAACGTTAGGGTTCACTGAATCCATAATGTTGTAAATCAGCCTTTTACAAGGGTATGGATCCATATTACAAGGAATTGGTAATGGTGGACCTTAGGGATGTAAAATGGGTCCTTATTCTAGTAAACAATAGTTTACAATATTAAGGACCGATGGTACCTTAACGTCGTAAAGAGAATCCCTAAACTCGTAACTTACAAGTTTTTGGTAACAATTTACAAGGTTTTGTTCCTGGATTACAACGTTAGAGTTCAACAAATCCATAATATTGTAAATCACCATTTTACAATGTTATGGATCCACATTACAAGGAATTGGTAATGGTGGACCTTAGTGATGTAAAATGGTCATTATTCTAGTAAAAAATTGATTAACAAGATTAAGGACTGAGGGCACCATAACGTCGTAAAAAGAATCCCTAAACTCGTAACTTACAAGTTTTGGTAACAATTTACAAGGTTTTGCTCCTGGATTACAACATTAGGGTTCACCAAATCCATAATGTTGTAAATCATATATTTACAAGAATATGAATTCATATTACAAAGGATTGGTAATAGTGGACATTAGGGATGTAAATTGGGTCCTTATTCTATTAAACAAAGGTTAAAGATGGATTTTACGATCTTATGGAACATAAATGTCCAAAATAGAGTAATACGAGACCTTAATATTGTAAACATTTGTGTTTACAAGTATAAGAACCTAATTTACTTTCCTAATGTCCCTAGTTACCTTAATATTGTACTAGATGTCTTTATCCTTGTAAATTACGATATTACAATATTAAGGATAGGTTTTACAATCTTATGGAACACAACTGTCCAACATAGAGTAATATGATACCTTAATATTGTAAACATTTGTGTTTACAAGGATAAGTACCCAATTTACTTTCCTAATGACCCAAGTTACCTTAATATTGTACTAGATGTCTTTATTTTTGTAAATTACGATATTACAAATTTAGGGATGGGTTTTACAATCTTTTGGAACACAACTGTCCAACATAGAGTAATACGAGACCTTAATATTGTAAACATACGTGTTTACAAGTATAAGGACCCAATTTACTTTCCTAATGTCCTAAGTTACCTTAATATTGTACTAGATGCATTTATCTTTGTAAATTACAATATTACAATATTAAGGATGAGTTTTACAATCTTATGGAATACAGCTGTTCAACATAGAGTAATACGAAACCTTAATATTGTAAACATTCGTGTTTACAAGTGTAAGGACCCAATTTACCTTCTGAATGTTCCACTTTACCTTAATATTGTACTAGATGTCCTTATGTTTGTAAATTACGATATTACACGATTAAGGATTGATTTTACAATATAATGGAACACAATTGTCCAATATAGAGTAATGCGAGATCTTAATTAATATTGTAAATATCCATGTTTACAAGTATAAAGATCCAATTAACCTTCCAAATGTTCCACTTTACCTTAATATTGTACTAGATGTCCTTATGTTTGTAAATTACGATATTACGATATTACGATATTACGATATTACACGATTAAGGATTGATTTTACAATATAATGGAACACAAATGTCCAACAGAGTAATACGAGTCCTTACTTTGTTTTAGATAGCCCTTTTTTGTTGGATTTTTGGTTATGTATTTAAAGTTATTTAATTTATGCTATTGTAAGTAAATGCAATTGTCGTGCCAGAATGTACCAATTACAGACGAAAAATTGCAAATTACCTGGTCTTGTTATTTTGTAGTTATACATCGTTTTGAACTTAGAGTTCTCTAATAGAAAGCAAATTTTGCGCATATTTCATTCGTACTCATATTGGAGACGATCCAAGTATTGTTTCTTTTTTACAAAAATATATTTTGAATATATTAATAATACAAAATAATGGTCTATCATCAATTATGGCGCTATGAGGTTTGGCATTAAGTTGCAAAAGTTGTAATCACCTAAACTTAGAAACCAATTTGGATTGGCAATAACAATCCACAAATACCATGACTTAAGAAATTTGTACTTGTTCTAGGTAACATGTAATTTCCAAACAGGGAGATACTAATTGTACAAATAAATGCAATTGCAAACTAATAAATGCAATGATTCTATCTTCGTTTGGTAATTGGTAAATATGGACCAAGTTTACATCTCCGAGGTCCATTCTTGACTTCATCTTGGAATGTAGATCCTTTCTATTGTAAATTACGATATTACAACTCTATGGATACACCTTATAAGTTTATGGAACGTGGACATCCAAAACATTGTCAAATGAGTCGTTACTATTGTAAACCCTTGTCAATTATTAAATAGTATATGGCTCCCTGTTTGTCAATTTTGTGCTCACTGTTTGTCAATTGGATGCTCACTGGTTATCAATTATGTGCTCCCTGTTTGTCAATTACTCACATCGCCTTGAATATTGGTAATACTCTAGAAGTAATTACTTAAAATGCAAAAAGTTGCCAAACATAATTGCAAAACCTTAACCCATTTACAATTAAATACATCAAATTGTTGTCCTACGAACAATTATTCTTTTCAATTTCATTTTTTAAATATGTAGATCAAGAAAGCCTGAAAAATGCGGTGGGAGAAAAACAGCCAACGAGTGTAGAAGGAAAATAAAAAAATAGAAAGAAAAAAAAAACACTAGGAAGGAATCAAGCTAAAGCCGAAAACACAAGCCCAGCAACATGTTCCCCAACCCAGCTCAACTTTTGCAGCTCCACCGTCCTCAAATCAATCCCTACCGCTACATGAGCACCGTGATTCAGATGTCTGGGAATCCAAAACCAATCAACTTCATCGAACCCAGCTTCTAATTTCATGATTTCATTTATCAAGGAGCAAGTTTCAATCCCTGTTTTACACACCACAATCCATAACAGCACATAACTCATTAATTTCTCAAATCTCAATTTCAATTCCAAGATGTAATTTGCTAATAAAGTTAGAAAATTGATTATAAAAATTACGAGTAGAAGATTGAGCGCTAGTATTGATTTCATGGAATGGACCCATATTTGATTCTAACTCTGACTGTCGGTGGGAGGGGCCATGTTTGAACCAAGAAACTCAACATGAAAGAGAGAGAAGAGCAGCAGCGAAATAAGAGAGAGAAGCTTCACATTTCAGTTTTATTTGTTTTTTAATATTTAACCTACAACAACCAGTTAAACAAGTCACCAACAATCAAAGGTGTGGATTAACCCACATCCACTAACTGCTTATCCAATGGTGAATATTATTGGCGCATCCATGCACCTTGCGCATGGTAGAATTTTCCATCAATTGTGAACAAAGACTTAGACAAAATGCTTTTTAAACAAAGACTGACAATTAACAACTCCAACTACTTTAATAATTCATTCTTTACTCCAAGTCTAATTCATTAAATTTATTAAACAAAGACTTAGACAAAATGTTTATTAAACAAAGACTGACAATTAACAACTCCAACTAATTTAATAATTCATTCTTTACTCCAAGTCTAATTCATTAAATTTATTAAACTAATAATTCATTCTTTACTCCAAGTCTAATTCATTAAATTTATTAAACAAAGACTTAGACAAAATGCTTATTAAACAAAGACTGACAATTAACAACTCCAACTTCTTTAATAATTCATTCTTTACTCCAAGTCTAATTTATTAAACAAAGACTTAGACAACATGCTTATTAAACAAAGACTGACAATTAACAACTCCAACTAATTTAATAATTCATTCTTTACTCCAAGTCTAATTTATTAAACAAAGACTTAGCCAAAATGCTTATTAAACAAAGACTGACAATTAACAACTCCAACTAATTTAATAATTCATTCTTTACTCCAAGTCTAATTCATTAAATTTATTAAACAAAGACTGACAAAATGCTTATTAATTTATATTTCCTTCACTGTTTGAAATCATTAAATTTCATGGACACTAATATTATTAGCATTTTTACAGCAACAATGACCAGATGTTATGAAGAAGGAAAATAAACTACAAAACTCTTTTTTTGGTCTAAACCATGAGGTGGTCCTGGATGGGCCCCAACTATGGGTGGCACCTTTAAGCCTTAACCACAACCCAGACTAATCCCCACTCACACCGGGTCGGCCCGTAAGGGGTAAAGTGTTGGCCAAAGTGGTGACTCCGTACGAGAGCAAGGATCGAACCTCTGACCTCTCTTAAGGAATGAGAGTGCCGAACCACTCACACCAACCACCTTGGTTACTACAAAACTCTTTTAAATGAGGAATTCGTTGGAAACGTTTTGTTGCTTTTGCCTTTGTTGCTCATACGTGACCTCAATCTATTACTTGGCGTGTTTCCAACATCCACTGTTTTTCTTTTTCTTTTTTTATTTTTTATTTTTTAATTTTTTTGTCTGTTATTTATTTATAATATGTTTATTATTACAATAATAATAATTGTTATTATTATTACTGATTTGGCTCTCTCTGTATTTTGTATGATCAATACAATAGCACATGAATCGATGATCAATTATGATTTATTTGTTTAATTAATAATTTAATATGCATTTCAATTAGATTAATTGAAATTGATTTTTTTTAGATTAATCTTTATTAGATTCTAAAGGTATTTGGTTGTCTAATTATTTTATTATTTTTGAGCTTTTAGTTTTTTTGGTTGTCTGATAAAAAAAAGACTCAGTAATGAGCGGGTGTATATATATATGGCGCAGATTTCGAGCAAATGGCAAATCACATAATCCTCACCTAAGTAAGCCCTCCTAAGTAAGCCCTTGGTCAGATCCATCTAAGAATGGCCGTCTCCGCAGATGCAGCTGTTGTGGAACTTCTTGATAACAGTAACTATGTGGATTGGAGTGTATTGGTTAAAACTTACTTGTTGGCTCAAGACCTTTGGGATGTAGTGGAAGGAGACGAACAAGAAGAAGAAGAAGAAGCTGATGATAAGTTCAAAGCTTGGAGGGAGAAGAATGCCACGGCTTTACATAAAATCCAAATTTCGTGCGGGCGGGAAGCTTCTTCCCGCATTAGAAACACCAGTTCAGCCAAACACGCTTGGGATACTTTGGCAGGTAAGTCCCCAGTTCAAATCTTGAACCTCAACAAATCTGTGAGAAGTAAATATTCGACTTTAACCATAAATATATATATATATATACACATATTATATATAACCAAATTATACTCTAAACATTTAATTCACTAACCACAAGACCACTATTTCTTGTGGTTCTTCACTCAATTGGGTATAGTAAATAAAACAGAAATTGCAAAGCCTCTCCTAAGTAAGCCCTTGGTCAGATCCATCTAAGAAAGGCCGTCTTCGCAGATGCAGCTGTTGTGGAACTTCTTGATAGCAGTAACTATGTGGATTGGAGTGTATGGGTTAAAACTTACTTGTTGGCTCAAGACCTTTGGGATGTAGTGGAAGAAGACGAAGAAGAAGAAGAAGCTGATGATAAGTTCAAAGCTTGGAGGGAGAAGAATGCCACGGCTTTACATAAAATCCAAATTTCGTGCGGGCGGGAAGCTTCTTCCCGCATTAGAAACACCAGTTCAGCCAAACACGCTTGGGATACTTTGGCAGGTAAGTCCCCAGTTCAAATTTTGAACCTCAACAAATCTGTGAGAAGTAAATATTCGACTTATACCAGAAATATATATGATATATATAACCAAATTATACTCTAAAACATTTACTTGATTAACCACAACACCACTATTTTTGTTCTTATACTAGCACGGGAGTAAGGACTGATCAGTTTACGTTTTGTTCTTTTACATTTTGGTCTCCCTAGACTTACTGTATCCGAAAAGAAATATACAAGTTACATGTATAACAATGTGGAAATTAAATCTAACGGTGTCAATTTACCCCTTTGGCTTTATTTATTTATTTTAAAATAGTTAATTTCCCCATGAATCACAAAACTACCCAATTTATAACCCATGCTCATATTCCGAGCAATTCCATTCAAGATGTCAGGCAAAAGAAATTCCATTCAAGATGTTAGGCAAAACAAATGCTCATCTCACGCCATATTCTTTACAAAAAAAATTGTCTTGAAAGTCTTCAAAAGTGAGTCAATTACTTTTCAAAATGACAATTAGCGACACTTTTTGTAAAGAATATGATGTCAAATGACCATGAGTCTCTTAAAAACATTACTTTAATTGATGTAATTGGTAGGAATTACAGTTGGGTAAATCAACCAGTTTTGTATAGTTTATGGGAAAATTTGGTTGAAATAAAAGTTTGGGGGTAGATTGACACAATCTATATAATTCATGAGGGAGGGAAAACGAAGTATACTTCATATCGTAATCATGTATTAATGTAACAAACGTGCTGCAAAGAGTGGAGGTTTTACTATTAAAAAAAAAATTAATAAAAAAAACTAAGAGTGGAGGTTTTAACTTCAGCCATCCCCTTCAATTGAGGTATATCCCTCCAATCACATTATTGGGGAGACACTTTGTAGGGCCGTTTCGCATATGATAAACTTGTTTTTTTCTTGGATCAAAATTTTGGGAATGATAGCGAAAAATAAAAACTGATAAATAATGATTCTTTTTCTTCGATCATATTCTTTATATGACTGAAAAATAAAAGAGCTACATACATATTATATGCATGGGTACAATTCATTCAATTATTAACACAAAAAATAAATGGATTATGTTATCTGAAATCATTAATAAATTAATTAACCAAACTTTGCGCAGGATATTACAATGACTACAATCAGTATATGCCGTTGTTCGATGCTGTGTGGAGTGGGGATTGGAATGAAGCAAAGGAGTTTCTTACCCTACATCCCAATGCAATAAGAGCAAGACTTCCATCTACAGACAAGATAGCTCTTCACTTGGCAACAGATCTAGAGCACGAGCATATTGTGGAAGAGTTGGTGCAGTTGATGTCAGAGGAAGACTTGGAATTAACAGATAAATGGGGTTGGACAGCTCTTGCTTTTGCTGCACAGAGAGGAAATCTCATAATGGTTGAATGCATGGTTAGAAAGAGCAAGAAAATACTTAGTATTCCCACTAAGGAGGACAATATGACTCCAATTCTCTATGCTTCTCTCAATGAACAATGGGATGTCGTTGATTATCTTTACTCCGTCACTCCCCTCCAAGATCTAATGCCAGAGAAAGGACCATACGGCGCTATGCTTCTTCGCAACTTTATTGTTGGCATGAAATTTGGTAAGAGTTTTAATCTTATAACAATGAAATTGAATACTCCTTTTTTTCCTTAATTATAAAAACTTGTTTTTCTCCACTACAGGTATTGCTCGGGAATTAATTCAGTGTTGCCCACAATTGGTCTTTACCAAGGGCCTCTTTGAGACATTCCCGATGGAAGGATTTATGCCTTCTGCATTTCCGAGTGGAACATGCCTCAAATTTTGGCAACGATGGATCTATAATTGTTAGTATCAACATTCTCTTTCCTCTTACAATTACAATTATATATTTTCAATGTTACATTGACTGTAATGAACCTAAGACTTCAAAATTGACTGCGCATTTGAATTTGAGCCTTGAAACCTCAAATAATACTTATTGATCTTAATGGCTAAGAAATGGCAACTTCAGTGACAAAGAACGAAATGAAACACCCAGATGAGAGATGTGGAAATGCTGATTTGGTTTTTTTAATTATTGTTTTAACTTATCATCTCAAAGAATTGGAAGGGGTTGAGCGGTGGGTCTGTTCAAGGTTTTCTTTTCAATATTCTATTTTTAATTAAGAGTTCAAGGCATTTTCACTCTGTTATCTAAGAGGACATGTGACAGAATATTAACATAGGAACATGGAAAAAGTTGACAACACAAAACGTATATATGCAAATCAATTATGACGAGATATCCATAATTGTAATAGAAATAGTAATTCGAAATATATTAATTGAGGTTATACACATAACTGTCATTTTTTAAAAGGTATACACATAGAGCGTGCTATCAGTGATATTCATGTAAGTGTTCAAAATGAAGGAAATGAAGAATGTAATCGAATGAAGATCACTTGGTCAGGTATGTTGCGATTATGGTTTTATCTGGTAAAATTTAAATAATTTCTTCTTATGTTATCAAACTCTTCGGACTTTGTAA